TATCGATCAGATCGTTATCGGTGAATTGAAGACAAAATGGACAACAAGAATGACTCATTATGTGGATATACCGCGTGAGCTGAGGGGGTGGAAAATAATAATTGCGAAAGAACACATTACGCGAGGCAGGGGGAGAAAAATGTTTGACACGGGCACGTATGCAAATCACACAAGAACAACAAGACGGGGGCGGAAGTGCATATATCCGAAAAGGGTCGGATTTTTATTTTTTGTTTCGCGTATATACATAAAAAATAAAACCGAACATTTATATTGTGTTTGTTTACGTACAATCCGACACGTTGACACGAGGATATCGGATTTCATATTCAGGGCATGCTAATAAAACCATTCAACGTTAAAAAAAAAACAACTAAAAAAAAAAATGAAAAATAATTTGAATAAGTGATTTCTGTTTACACTGAATTCTTCGTAAACGTCGCATTATTTATTTGCACAAATAATAATTTTCTCGTAATTTTAAATACGTCGTTTCTCATACCTTATTATACGAATCACTGACAAAACACAGAATAGAAATCCATACGAAAATATATCTCAGTAAGCAACTTATAATATAAAATGCAATTTATTACGTATTGAATTATTTGTATAATCAGTGCCTATTGAAATATACGCGTAGCTTGTGCATTATCGATAATGATACTGTCATTATCATATCATGCATATGCATATAGTATAGGTATTATAATATATACTATATAATATTATCGTTTAAGAAAATTAAAATTATTTTTTTTTTTTTGAAATACGAGATCTAAAAAAATATCAGTTGATAGAAAAATATGATTTTTTGCATAAACGTAATTCTGCTATAAAATATAAAATATGATAAAATCATATTTTAAGTGTATATAATAAAAATGATATATCAATATAGATATAGTATTTAATTTAAATATTATACAAATATCGATATTATTATTTATATAGAATATATACGTATAATCGTGAAACTAGGTGCAGTATATATATAAATTAATAATTGGTGAAAAATTAATGAAAACTTTAAACTTTATAATTGCATAGTATTTATTATATGTATACCGTAATATATTTATGTGTCAAATTAAAATTATTACAAATGATTGTTTGTCACATAAAAATTACTGCAGCTATAAATGATATGAAAAAACCGCATCGAAAATCATGTCGAACATCAGTGCTGTATATACATAATTAGTTATGGGAAAACGATGTGTGTTTGGAGGGAAAAACAAGAAAAGTATTCGAAAAAAGCTTCTCTTTTGCCAGTGCTCTGTCAGCCGTATAATTAGAATCGGCGGTAGAGCCGCCACGGTGGTAAGGATAAAAAAATGGGAAAAGAAGAGGCAAATTTCTTGGTACGTCGTTTGTTATCCAAATGACAGGGCCCGAGATTGGCCCCGGAGAAAGTCTTGGGGGAAAAAGATTTTATTATAAGATATCCTCTACCGAGTAATCCAATTATTAACGTGTAAAAAAAAAGAATCACCGAGGATGGATGAAGATTACACATATACTATCCCCTGATCCCTTTAATCACGTTTATGCGTATATATATTCATATTATATTGATTGAAACAGTTTTTACAGCTAAAAAATAAATTAAAATAAAAAAATAATAAAAATTTTTTTCAAACGGAATGTTCAAAAATGTGTCGTGTGCATGATTTTATGTCGTTAAGAATTATACGAATCGTATAATATATTATTAAATTATTATTATTATTATTCACTAAATTAAATATAGATTATAAGTCTTTTTTTCGGGAAGGATGGCGGAGAGGGACGTTCCGGGCGTGAAAGATCTTCTAAATCGTGATTGCATAAACCAATGGCGGTCGTGATGTGGTTTATTCGAAATTAATCAATTGTCAAGTAACCCGATTTATCAATGACGGTGGAACCGGTTTTCGTTTGAGTTCACTAACCCCCCTTCGGGAGACAAAAATAATGGATGACAAGTCCCAAAAAACATTTCCGATGAAATTTTTTCAGCTAATAATAGGAGTATTATTATTATGTCGGATAATAATATTATGACGTATTGATGTATATGTAGTAATAATTAATAATATAATAGACAACTGTATAATGTTATATTGAAAACTCTGTCGAAATAAATATTATGTATTGTATATATATGCGTAAGATATACTAAATAATAATAAAAACACAGATGACCGTCGTCTACGTCGCCGCCGCATCGGTAGTATAATAGCTGAGACGACCGACGATAATATTATAATATACGGCGGTGATGGTCGTATATACCGAAATAGCCGTTTTGGATCGTTTTCAAAAGGGATCCGCCGCCGCATAGATCGGATGTGTCACTCTAAACAAACCGATTATTAAAAACCGCATTAAAACGTGTTTAATCTGTGTACGCCATTAGTTTGACGACACCTCTTCACCCGCGCATCGTCCTAGTCTTCGTCGGCGGAACGGTGGCAGGAAGAGTTATACGCTCGGACCGGTCGACGAGCGGGGGTGGTTTCGGCGGTGGTACTTGGAACGGTGTAGTTGGGTTGAGAGGGTGGGTGGATGGAGGTGGATCCCGGTGCTATTTCAGTACGGCTGTCATCGTGGTCGTCATATACAGTTGCCCGTATTATAACGGTGGGAGTTTATTAATATGTGCTTTAAGTCTGTCCAACACGTATACACACACACGCACACACATGTATTTTCGATCTATTGAGAAAAAAGTCCACGCGACAGTGTCACCGATGAACCCGTGTGTCGTCCGTGTCGAGTCGGATGCCAAGAAAATCGTAAATTTTCGACATTTTTTTTCCTTCACTTTTCGCTGCTCGTCTCTCCGTAGTGTCACTCACACGCGCATTATACACATTGCCACACACTCCGCCGACCGGCCGAGAATAGGCGTCATTAAAGAAAAATCGAATGTTTTTGACACTGCCGCTGCCGAAAGTCGTTGCTGCTAACGAGCGTAGGAGACGCGAGTTTTTCTAAACTTAGACGGACACCGCCATTCCTATATTACTGCTGTAACAGAGGGTATCCACGGTCGCGCATTCGGCTCTACATAACTTCCGATTGAATTGACACGTCGCAATAGTACTTATTACTCATCACCTAGTCTCGTCTAGCTGGTGAAGGTATTTATTATCCGTTCAATTCATCTACGGCTGATTCGAAGATGAAAAGATTAGATTTTCGTTATAAAAACAATTTCCGTTTTTTTCGTAGGTACAAAAGTAGTTTTATGATATAATATAGATATTTGTGGTATTACTACGATAACTCTTTATGAAATACGATTACAACGAGGACGTCAATGACAACGACGGTAGTATTATATAATATTATATGTGTAGTTGTTCAACCACCGACGCACGTGTGTCGCTTGTGCTACCATCTATCGCCTGACCTTTGTGCCGGCGCCACGAAACGCCGCCCGAACAGATACCGCTGCGGGTTTATTCCATTCCGGTCTCACAAACTGTTCACAAATTCGCAATTTATAAATATTTTTTTTTTTAAATTTAGAACACAATATAATCATGATATATTTTATTGTATATAATGCGTATGTATGTATGTGCGTGTATTTATTTAATGAGCTAAAATTCTAAAATTAAAACACGTTGTCAATTGTGAGACGTTGCCAAATAATTCTGTAAACTAATAATTTATACGTTCGAACATACGTACACAAACATTATAAACACACGCAAACATGCGCGCATAGGAAGAGACATATTATTATTATAAAATTCACTTCTGTCACTGGGCAAAGACCGTGAACGGATAGAGGTGTATTTATATCTCGTATATGATATAAAATAAAGCGCCACTGAAAATTATTAAAAAATCGAGAGAAAAAATACGATAGATATAAATAAGATTTTTATGAGGCGATACGTGCGTAAAGCGATACGAACACAATAAATATATTTAATGAATATTTTTTTTAGACGTCACCCCGTTAATTATACATATTATCGTAATGCGCTCTAAATCTCCCCCGCCGACTGCTGCTGTATGGCGTTTAAGTAAAATTCTATTTTGGACCACGCTGCAACAGTTAATCGACACCCGATGCCCTATCTCGCTTTTTGTAGCGACCGTCATAATTTTAGACGAGCAACGATCCTCCTTTATTTAATATATTTAAGTCAAATAACACAAAACGATCGTTGCTGCAATAAAATATGTCATTAGACATATTTTAGATACCTATATACACATGTTAAATTTTAAAGTCATACAAAGATGTTTAAACCTCTGTGTAGGTTTGAGACAGAAATCATAACATTTTCCTAAATAGTAATAATACATCATTATTTTTAATAGTTCACGAATGAAATATTTTTGCACAGTATGTGCATGATGTAAAGGAAATACTTGTATAATTTCTGTAAGTTATTTTTTACTTGAATACATTGATAAAATTGAAAGTTTTAATAAAATTATTCAAAATCGTTTGATTTATTCGTGTAAATCCAAAATAAATGCTAAAACTATTAAATGTTTTAGGTTTTAGCTACTATATAATATTACATTAGATATACACACGATAAGGAATAATACAATAATTTCAAAATTTTATAAAAATTTAAATACACAAAAAGTACAATTTAACGGAAATTCATCATATTTCTAAAGAAATTGGATATAATTTGATTTTTTACAGATATGTTATGTTGATATCGCTGAAAACCGAATTTATTGATATCTTGGATGTCTGTCGTAAATAAATCGAATAATAATAAAGCGTGAACGGTTTTATAACGTTTAGCCGTGCGTTAAAGAGCCGTTTGGCCCTGCCCCTTAGCCCTCCCTATCCTGGCGGCCGGCAAACCACATACAACTGGGACGTAACGTCTGCTGATGTTTCTGTGCCAACGGTTTTCTTTTTTACTCTTTTTTTTTCCTCTTTCATTTAACCCTCGATTGTTATAACAATGTGACGTGCACTTTGTGTTGAAAAAATATTGGTTTTTTTATATTTTGTTTTAGTATTTTACCTGTTGCCAAAATTGAGCCAGTAGATAGATACGTTCCTTTTTAAAGAGCCAATCCATAGACTGCATAGCCTGGACATCCATATCACGTGTTACGCATAATTACCGTGAAAAACACAATAATTATCGTACAAAAAGCTTTTAAAGACAGCGTTTAACACGTAAAAAATTTGAATGATGTCTGGTCTTTCATCTGTAACACATAAATTAATTTGTTGTATTTATAATACTGTATCAAATAGGTTTAGAATTATTGATATAACGATTTTTAATTAACTTAAAAGCGTGTGAGCACTTAGATTGCATATACAAAACGCCTAATAAAACTATTCTATTATTATTTTTTTTCCATTTCGTAAATATAATAAAATTGTTGTTTAAAACAATTATTGGAATTTATACAATTGATTATTGCATGCTATAGTAAAAAATAATTCAAATTTTAAATACAATGAAATGACTAGTAAAATCAAGGAAAATATTTTAAATATAAGTAATGTGTGTTATACAAATTGCTGAAAACACATAGGTATTTTGTTTCAAGTGTATATTATTTATATTATTCATTAAAATTTTTTTAAAAATCATCTTGACACATTGTGTCTAAAAATAAATATCATACACAACAAATTATGTACTTGTTTGATCATTACCAAAAAAAATTATGGATTACTCGTAAGTAATAATAAACATTTTAACAATGAACAAGTCTTAATTGACATATTTATCTTTGTATTTTCTTAAATCGAATAGAGTTGAAAATAATATTATTTAATATACTTATTTAATTCGTCCTCCAAAATTACAATTTCTAAAACTCAGTGTGATTAAACTATTTTCATTGCATTTTTTTATGCCTAATTAATATAATTGTTATTCTACATTGGTAATTATTATTGTCATTTAATTAAGGCTGTAAAAATATACGAATAAAATTATTTATGTGTAAATAACTAGGTAACTATAAATATTTACATACTAAAAAAAATGAATTGACAATTAATAATGTTATATGACATTTATTTTGATCATGTTCAATTATAGTATATTGAACGTGTTTATAATTATAGTATTATATGCGGGCAATCAGTTTAAGGTAGAAACCAATTTTTTTTTTTTTTTTTTGTTGCAATAAATTCCAAAATGAATATTATCAAAGCATATTACCAGTCAGCCGTCTGACGCACGCACATCAAATATATGGGTGATGACGATAACACTAATAAGAGGCTTATCCCTAAAGTTTTATAGTTTTTAATTATTCTACGATCAGGATTATATGTTGGGAATATTTGTTGGGAATATTTGCTGTATTTATATTTTTGTTTGGAAGCTTTGGAATTCAATAAGTAGGCTATCAAAATATTATAAGCGTATAAACAAAACACCTGACGCCAAACAATAGACACAATGTTTTTATTATTGTTTATTTTTCATAGAAGGTGAATATACGTTCAGTCAATCGAAATTAAAAATAGTTATATTGACCATGAAAAATATATTGATACATAAGACTAAATTTAATAAAATTAAAAATGATTAACCGATGTTATTGTTTTAGGTACCTATACTGCCTGTGTAATTATTGTTTTCATATTGAAAACAATAATAATAATATTGAAATAATATTATAATATTATAATATTATATAATATTGAAATTCGCTCAAATAATAACTATAATAAAAATATAATTTACGAAATATATATTGTAGTAGGTATAATATATACTCAATATATTATATATTTTAAACAATTTTATAAAATAGGTACGTTAACATTAAAATTACATTAACAAAAAATAACATATATTATAATATAGTATATAAATATAATTATTTTATTCTATTGAAGATTTTAGTCTAAAGACTTGTAAAAAAAATGTCTTGTATAATACGCTTATAATAAACATTAGTTTAGTTTTAAATAAGTTGTTTAATAATTCGCCGAAGTATTGTAAAAACAGTTCCCGCGGCGTCGTCAATTTCAAACCAAAAAAAAAAAAGTTGTTTAATAATTATTTAATGTTATCTTAATGGAATAATTTTATCAGACTGAAAAATATATAATATATCAATACTGTATTACTCTTAAAACTATAAGTTAGTTTTTTAGTTTACATAGGTATACATATTATAAATACAAACAATTATAACAATTAATAATAAAAATAACAACAATACTTTTAAAATTTAAATTATTTTTCACAGTATGAAAAAAACTGACTGAGTTATTGTAATTTTCACGGATAATTATTTTATTTCAGATAAAAATTATTATTTAATTATTACATTTTAAAATTTAGAATTTCTACGAAAATCATTTATAATAATTAGAAATAAATTTAAACTACTACCATACTGTATTTTATTAAAAACTGTATTTTTATAGATTTTTGTCAGTTATTTTAAAATAATAAGGAACCAAAATATTTTTAGATATAATTGTTGTGAAAAACAAATAAAGTACTATTTTCATAGACATGTTTTTATTAATTTAAAGTTGATTTTTTCAAATAACCTTATGCTATTTATTTGTAATTAAATCAAATTTTCTTATACTACCTAGGTGTTGGAAAATGTAATTTTTCGGGAAAAAATTGATTTACATGAAATATGAAAAAAAAATAGGTTTGAACTCAATGATAAAATTTTTAAGATCAAAAATATGTATAAAAGGCAGAAAAAATATCAAATGAAAATATTCATGTAATAATAATAAAAACTCACCTCTGCGAACGCATTCGAATGTTCGACTGTAACAGAAAAACCGCTAGTGTGTCTGGGTCAATAGATTGTCTACCCGAATCGCGGGTGATGAAAACAAATTAAAAAAAAAAAAAAAAGATACTAATCGGAATGTTTTAAGTGGTGATAAAAATTTTATTCTCGAAAAATACCCCAAAAAAACTTTAATCGTAAAAATGTTTCCGCACTTGTTTTTCTGTACGGATACGACACTGTTTTGGGGGGGTATTTCGGACACACAAAAATTCTACGCGTAACTCGCGAATAATTGAGAAAAAAAAAAATAAAACGATTTTACAATAGTGATAAAATAATAACAACCGATGACGGCAATAATAATAATACAGGTAATGACGGCGGTAATTTAATAATAATAGTGATAAAATTATTTTACGGTTGTAATATTATTTTATTATTTTCGCGTAAAACACGACGGCTGCGTCGGACAATGTGATTAGCAGACGCGACGACGGCGAGTCACAAACACCACACGACGACGACGACGACGACGACGACAACCGGCGACGACGACGAACAGCACACGCGTGTCGACACCGCGCGTACAATCAGTGACGACTGGCGAGCGAACGGCGCTCGGCGGATACCGGTGGCCCACCGACGAGACGACGCGCGGCGGCGGCGCGGCGACGACGATATCTCCGGCGCGAGCGGTCCCCGTGCACTCCTGCCATCTGCCGGCGGCGGCGGCGGCGACGACGACGACCGCGAGACGGCCGCGGCCGTACGGCGCACAATCCTTTACCCTCCACACACAGCTCCGCATTATTTCTTCCTTTTCATTTTTTTTTCCTCTCTCCTCCACGGTCACACGTCCTATCCTCTCCTCTCTCTCTCTCTCTCTCTCTATCTCTTTCTCTCTTTCTCTCTCTTCCTGTTTCCGTTTCCGATTTTCCACCACTGCCACCCCGTCAGCCGCCTTTATTTTCTCATTTTCCTTCTCGCGGCCCCTACCGCCACGTTTAGCCCCCGCCAACCGGCTGTATTTTCTATTTATATATAATATATATACACATCGTACTTCCGTCGGTCCGTCTCTTCCTATTTTATTATATGGGTTGCACGCGAATCGTATGATATTATGTTTTATCGTGTGCGTATATACATTATCAATCACCGGGCACGGCGATATTGCTACGGCCAATCGGCGTGTGCGACCTGCGGCCGACTTGGGCGCACACCACACGGCGGCGGCGCGTGCTGGGTAGTAAGCGCGTCATTTCGGTGCGCCGATCGGTTTTCGCTTTTCTTTTTTTCCCGATACCGCCGCCAATACACAGCAGCTGATCACGCGAACGCCCATCATCCGCCCGCCGCGTTTTCGTCGTAATATATTATTACCAACATGGCACGGTTAAAATTTTTTCTACATTTATCGAAATATATTATATAAAATATTATAGGTAACTCGTCCGATATATAGGTATCTCAGACTTTCGGTATTCGCGTGAATACGTGAAAACGATAGTGGTTTTTTTTTAGAGCTTTCTTTGGGCTTGTCGACGTTCCCTTTAACACTCTTTCGACTGTTCACTTCATAATGTGTCTGCAGTTGGTACATTATATACGAATCCAATCAACGAACCGTGGTCTTCAGACGCTCGGTATTTTCTGTTGTTGTTACTGTAGCCAATTCAAAAGTGAAATTAATGTATATCGGACTTTCAGACAAATTAAAAAGCTATTAAACTCTAATTATTAACGATTTTATTGGAATGTGTACAACAGTGTAGATATACATTTATACTCATTATGTTCGTTGGAATAATTCTGTATAAAAATTGTATATTTTTTATTAGTAATTTATTACATATATTATTATGTAGGACGAGATAGGCACCTTAGGTATATTTTATGTGTATACATCAATTTATTGTATAATCAGATAAATTATATACCTACTCATTTGTTTTTATATATTCACCTAACAATTACCTTTATATATATTTCACATAAAACGCATACATTTTGATGGTTGAACTGGTAAATAGTAAGTACTAAGTAGTATTCACAATAACATGTACATTATATGTTTGTCATAAAAAAAAAATAAATAAAAAATATGGATTAAAAGCTTTCGTGACAAGAGTTATTGGTATAGGAAAAATGAGCAAAGTACTCGTCCCCTCATCACACAATTTATTAGATTTTTCACGAATATCGACAACATTTTAAGCGATTCAAAATTTATTTATAATAAGATTATAAGTGTTAATTTTTGGTATACACGTACAAAAAAAAAAAAAAAAAAAATAAGTATCTGTAAATGTAAAAAACTGTTGTAATCTAAAATTAAAACTTAAATTATATTTAAAAACTATAAAATAATATACCTTTATGAGTATATAAAAAAATTAAACCAATTTGTTTTTGTAATTTAATTTTTTTATTCAACTACTTGAAATTACTTTATTTATTTAGTTCAATTATTTTTTATAACAGTATAAACTGTTAAGATTATGTTCAGAGATAATTATTAAAAAGTATAGGTAGATAAGTAGACCTACCTACAATAAAATAATGTGCATATGCGTAGACACTAATTTTATGTTGATATTTTTATAAAATCGAATTTTTATTATCATTAATTATAATTTTGTCGTATATTATTTCGAGGACAACTAGTTCGATAAAAATACGGTTTTAATATACAACATGATTAATGTGTTGGTAATATAAGTACATGAATCATACAAAATTGATCTAAAATATTAAAACGTTACCTAATATATTAAAATGTAATAATTAATAATAATTCAATATTCAAACTCATATGATAAATTTTACCTGTGTATTTAGTATTATTTACAATAACAATTTCATTGATTAATTTATACGAGAATAATAATTGTGCAGCGTACTTTTCTCTTTAGTTCGTGGAATACATTGCCCAAATCCCCTCCAAAACACTCAATTATACATAAATAATAAAAGGTTATTTAAATTCAACGCAACTGAAAAATTATCGATTCATAAATACACGTCACTTAAAAATGTGTGCTTAGGTACAAATTATTTATTATGTTAGTCGCTAGTGTATATATTATATTATTTAATATACCTATGGTCTGATAATTAACTTTAACATTAGTTTATTTTCAATTATAATTATGGTTATCGGTGATGGAAAACGAAATCTGCTCAGACTTAGCGTGTATACAATAAACTTATACAGCATAATAGAATTATTATAGTACCTATGTATTTTTATATTTATATTATACTACGTATTATATCTAAATATTAAATATGATTTATATAACATATCTTTTTAGTCTATTTTCATTAAAAATAGATGTAGTGTATCTATATGAAATATAAATAATATAATTTTGGTCGTTATCGTGTAACACACATGAAGCAACAAAAAATAGTAAGTACAGTTATTACTAAGAAGTAATATAACATAGCTACTTTCGGTTGACCGGTTCAATTAAATTGAGTGCCGAATTACCAATACACGTCTCGGAAATTATACACAGTTTTGTACATTACCGTGTACAAATTATACGGGTCGTGAGAAATAGCAATCGTCATTCCCGAACATCATTATTTCTATTTTTTTCGAATACATTTCGATTAAAAATACGAACCAAAATTATACCTAAGATCCGCAATAATGCAATTGAAACGAAATTGACATGTCCACAATAAATACAATGCACACTGTAGATATTATTACGTTTACAATAACAATGACTGGTTGAAATTTTCGTTGAAGTTTATTGTCATTACTTTTTTCTTTCGATTTCGTAAAATATTATGGACATAAATATTTTGATTCGAATTAATTTCCCATAAAAATTTTACAAATATTTTCCCGTAATTAGATTTGAATGTCGATGATGCACTTCCGTACATAAAATTGAATGGATTCAAATTTTTAGTGGTATTTACTGCATAATCAGTGGGCATAATAGCATATACGTATCCTATATATACCTACTTAAATACTAAATAGGTAGTAGAACTCCTATTGGTATTAGGTATACTATATAGACGAGAACTTTAAATATAATTTCTTATGCTATCTAGAATCTTTTAATAAAACTCTTTATTTAGATATTTAAATAAATAAAATTTCAAAGTTATAAATTTAGAATTTCTTCAGTGTCCTATTTTTCGTCGTGCACTCATATTTCTCCACATTTTTTTATACCTGTAAATACTGCAAGTCTATTAAATATATATTATATGTGTATTTACTGTATATCGTATAAGCATGTTTTTTTCCGAAATTTCGAATAACAGTGTATATACTATATAAAATACACCTATATATAATAGTTTAGTAATGCATCTATATGGACTATGAATGAAGTGATTTTAATTCGTACACCCTTGTACCGCCGCGCATACCAAATCGCTGCTATTACCACACCGATGAGTAACGATGGTCGCTCTCAGGGGTTATATACAAATTGAGTTAATTATATATTGTTGTACGTCCACCCACGCACACGCACACGTATATTGTCACCCCGGTTAATAATTGTAATTCACCGTAGTTTTGCCTCAATCATAACACTCTATACTCGTACTGTACGCATGTATACCTATGCATGTGTGTGCGAAAACGATTAACGCGTATATTATTATAATCCAAACGAATTGGCACGTGTAATATTTAATTCGTGACATTTGCCGCGTGTCCTTGACCTTTGAATGAAGCATATCATACATAATATAATATATGTCTGCAGTAATAATATAAGGTTAAAATTAATTGCGTGGGTGTACCTAGATACCTATTACTGCAGTTCACCCGATACGCATTAAACGGTTCAAATGACCAAAATATTTTATACTTAGTTATTACAATATTACACGAGGAGGGATGTTGGTGATATAATTTTATAATGCGTATATGCGCATACATGTATACAGCTATAAACATTTTTGTCAATTTTTACGGACAAATATCGACACAATGGTATGTTAAGACGCTGAATTGGATATTATCATTGAATGATTGCACTGTCTTTAATAATAAAGATTAAAATTTAAATACGAGTCCTATATAGAAACATCAGACGTGATGTAGATAAGTATTTACTTATAAATTCATATTATTAAACAATATATAATATATTTTAAATGTTATATGACGTAAATAAAGCATACCGATAACTTTATCTAGTTATGAATAAACAATAATTTTATTATTACGGGAAATCAATTATGATTGCGTTAAAATAATAATAAATATAAGTTTGCTAATGTTTACGTTTATCAAAGTTATGGCGAGATGGCGGAACTATCAACTATTAAGTATATCGTTCTCTCGGTGATATTAACGATCATCGACCCGGGTATACACG